TTTTTTTTTTTTTTTTTTTTTGGAGTGCTCAGATTCCCAGAGAACTTTCTCCTATAGTCTAGAGAGTACATTCCTGCCAGTAGTAATTGGAGGACCCAGTGGAAGTACTGTAATAGGCCTCAAAATCCAGTGGATAAACTTTCTTTTGCCTGGTGCACCTGTACTCTTAATGTATTAATTTCTGATCCAATCCCAGTTCTTCTTGCCTCTAAAGAAATCAACTTCCCATCTTTTGTTGGGGGAGTTAGGAACATTCCAGGGTTTGGACTGTGAGTCTTCTACCCTTAGCTCTGCTTGCCTGCTTACAGAGGTACCTATCTCCTGCCACCGTTCTTCAGTGTTTGGAAAGTTACATGATATAAATCAGGTGACAGCTCAGCTTTCCCTGAATGCCAGCTTAGGGTCCAGCTTTTCTGATATTTAAATATCATCAGTATTTTGTTTCACTTTGCCTTTGTCCTTAGGAGTTTATCCCTTGGTGGGAGAGGATTGGTGGTGGTGTCTTCATTGTAGTTTTAATGGAATCTGAGGAGGGAGCTGAGTTAAGTGGATGTTTTCAATCAATCTTGGAAGTACTGTCACATTTTTAAAAATTAATTAATTCAACCCAAGGCTTTTGCACTGGCTACAACCTTGGCCCTATTTATTTATTTACTTATTTATTTGTTTTTGAGACAGAATCTCACTAAGTCACTAAGTTTCCCAGGCTGGGCTCGAACTTGCAATTGTCTTGCATGAGTTTCCCAGAGTAATTTTATGCTTTACTCTAGTTATAGTCATACCTCAGCCATAGGTCATGACTACAACTGGCAAGATAGTATAATATAGGACAAATGCAAGCCACAAGAAAAATGTAGTGCGTCTCCATTAAGGAATCCTTGAATTTGACCTAGATTAATGTAAAGTGGTTAATGTGCTTTTGTATTAAATTGTGATCACTTAATTTCTAAAGAAAGTGGGACTGAAATGCCCGAGTAAAACACAAAATAACCCAATTTCCATTTACTGCTGTCGGCTTAGGGAGGATGGGCACTCTTACAGAACTGCCACCTGGGGCTTGATTTCCTGGATGAATTAATGGACACAGTTACAGAAACCGAGACTGTACATGATGCTTTCCGCCTGTGGATGACCACCGAGGTCCACGCGCAGTTTCCCATTGCCCTCCTTCAGATGTCCATTAAGTTTGCCAATGAGCCTCCACAGGGCCTCCGGGCGGGGCTGAAACGAACCTACGGTGGTGAGTTGAGTTGAGGGATACTTCTGAGTCTGTAGGAGTTTGTTTTGCACATTTCTTTATTTTCTCAAAGAAATGATAACAGAATCAGAGAATAGTTTAGCCCCACAAGAGGTGACAGCCCCTGTTGTCAACCTCCCTGGGGAACGTGCTCTGCTGGTGGTGCTGAGGAGCCCAGCTCGCGAATCCCACCTGTTTCTTGTTTCCCGACTTCGTTCTGTACCAGTCTGAGCTGCTCCCCAGCAAGGTACCCACCTCTCTGTGTTACTGTCCTACCTAAAGTAGGATCGTGACCGCTTCCAAGATGAAAGTTGGCATTAAATTATGGCCTGCCTTCGCTCCACAGGGGTCAAACGTCATGACACCAGGTAAGCTACAAACCCAACAGTAGCTACGAAACAACCAAAAGGAGTCCTCACTTGTGACCAGTGCCAAGGCTGTGCTGCAGAGCGTCCCCTGCGCACTTGGTCTTGGAAAGAGCACAGAAGTTGGGACTGAAAATGAGGATAGTGGTCTTTCCTCTTGACAACTGCTTTGTTGTCTTGGGTGGTTGTCACTCAGTTTTCCCATACATAAAATAGAGACAGTAAAATATCTCTGGGAGGACTGGAATAAATTGTAATTAAAATACTCTATTTAACAGCATCATCAACAACAACAAAAATAGAGTTATTGTATTTCAAATTGGAAAAGGTGCAATAAGATTTTTTTAGGGAAGTTGCTGACAAGATCAGATTTCTACTAGTCTACAAGGTAATGTGGGGCCAAAAGAAAAAAATAATGGCAGTAAAAAATTAAATAATATATAACTACATGATATATAAATATAATTATTATTTGGGGTTGCACCTGGCTTCTATATAATTTTAATATTGAATCAATTAGAAACATAGGTCCAACTATAAGCTGCATATATTAACATAATTAATATATTAGCCACAGTAGCTGCAGCAATGGTGGTTATACTTATTTTAACTGCCATGACCTTCCTTCCCTATTTTGTCTTTACATCATCTTGCTAAACCCATGTAAATTCCCCTTCCTAGTCGTTTTGGAGATTCTCCAAAGAGAAATGGTCTTTGGATACATATTTTATTTAAACTTTTATTAGTACCTGTTTGCAGTATACATAAGGTTAAATATCACAGGTTTTTTTTTTCTTACATGAACAACTCAATATATGGAAAATATGAAATAAAAGACAGATAATAGGAAAAAAAGAAAGAGCAAAAATGGGTATTGTATTCCAGCGCAAACAGTGTATACCTGGACTTAGTGCAATTGCCTTATGTGATCTTATGTTCTGCGGGATGTTAGTCTGGTTTTCAGTCTGTGTGCACGGATATCCACATCTTAAAACTATAATTGTCAAATAAATATAATAAAAATAGTCCCAAATAAGTGCAGTTTTATAACAGGAATTTGCAAGACTAATTACTTAGAAATGAATTAATTAGAAATAGAAGATGATGGATCTTTCCCCTGACTGACCTCACAGGCATGAGCCAGGACCTGCTGGAGGCGAGTGCCGGGGTGCAGTGGAAGCCCGTACTGTATGCAGTGGCTTTCTTGCACTCCACAGTCCAGGAGAGGCGCAAGTTTGGTCCCCTGGGGTGGAATATCCCCTATGAATTTAATCAAGCAGACTTCAATGCCACAGTGCAGTTCATCCAAAACCACTTAGATGACATGGATATCAAAAAGGTACGCTGTGTTTGCCACCATATGTCACTGAGGATTCTGGGATGGGTGTCAGGCTCACATGAGCGCCCAGCTTTGGGGTAAATTATGAACATATTGTAGACATGTAGGGTCATCTTTCGGTCACAGCAACTTAGATCACACTTCTTGATTTCAGGGCAAAAAGCAGAAAAGATTTGATGATCATTTTATTTCTCAAAGGCAAGTTGACATCCCATATATATAGTACAACCCACTGCAAAGATGGAGAGTTGGATTAGTGTGGGGAATATTGTTTTTCTAAATTTCTAAAAAGTAAATGTAAGAGTCAAGATCATTTGTGAGGTGTATGCTTTTTAAAAGACCTCCCTCAGTGTTCCCCCAAAATGAATTTCTGATATTAAAGCATGAAAACTCATAAGTGCATGAAGAGAGTCTACGTGAGATCATGACCATGAGCTTTGAGCATCTCCTCATGTTTGCCTGTTTAATTTTCCTTCTGCACTTTCTGTTTGTGATTCTGATAACGAACAACTGACTGACCCACACAGATGACAAAAACGTGAATGCTATGTGGCAGGGAAGATAAGGGCAAGACAGTGGCCACGTCTGCATAATTGCTGTCTACTTGTTCCCAGGGCATCTCCTGGACCACTGTCCGCTACATGATCGGCGAGATTCAATATGGCGGTAGAGTCACGGACGACTATGACAAGAGGTTGTTGAACACATTTGCCAAGGTTTGGTTCAGTGAGAACATATTTGGGCCTGATTTCAGCTTTTACCAAGGGTACCACATTCCGAAAGGCACCACAGTGGACCACTATCTTCAATATGTCCAGGTTTGTCAGCTTTGTTCTTTTGCAGAACAAATATTTGCAGCCTCTTGACCATTTTGATATTTATTTAATCTGTACGGCTTCAAAAATAAATTTTAATGGAGAGCTATAAATACATTCTTCATATTTTTAAATTCACTAGATGATTAAAATGTGTATCACTGCTTTAAATGCATATTTTGTATGGATTCCTTTCCTACCTCCCTTTTCTTGTAATGCCTCAGTGAGAAAATTTCTTTGGGGGAAGGATGGATGGGAAAGCATATACTAGGGATTTTGTACAAGTCACCTGGGGCTCCTTGCCCATGAGAATTTAGCTACCATAGCCACAGGGCAAGGAGGCTTTAGAATCAGTCTATTCTATTTTCCAACCCACTGGACCAGTCCTCCAATATCTATTCCTTAATCCTGGCCAAATGGGCAGCATTTAGATACAATTTCCAGGAAGAGTTCTTTTTAGAAGAGCTTCATTTAAGACAAGGTTCCTTAACTTAGGCACTAAGGCATTTAGTGCCAGATTACTCTGTCATGGGGTACAGTGTGTGTGTGTGTGTGTGTGTGTGTGCAGCCCCAGCCTCTACCCTCGAGATGCTGGTGGTATTTCCCACTCAGTTTTAAGAATCAACTGTATCCAAATAATCCCAAGTGAACACTGGTGAGAAAAATTGCCCTTGAGTATGGCTCTAAGAAGGAATGAGGTAGATCTTGGAAGGGATAAGGAAGCATGGGAATATATAGCTGGAAAAACCTGAATTCAAGGTAACTATATTATTTTCTCTATACCTTGAACTCATTAGATCATGATTTAATAGTCTCTTTGGCCTGTATCAAAGATTAATCTTAGAATCAACAAACTAAAGCACAACAACTCCAAAGGGCTAAATTTATCAGTATATTTATAGGTTTTTTGATATATAAATGTAATGAATTTATCATATATTACTACTTTTGCATTTTCATTAATTTATATCAAGAAATATATTTGCCCTACTGTACTGTGTGTGTTTTTAAATCAATGGAAATGAATATGAAATGTGCCTGAGAAGATATAAATTTAGGGATGCCTACATACCTTTGAACATATGCCCCACTTCACAATGAAATTGAGGTAGCTCATTAGGAGATATTATGTAAAAAGGAATAAAATAAGGGAAAGAAGGGAGGGAAAACATGAACAGGACAATAATAAAATTAAAGTAAAGACATGCATAGGAACACACGTCAGATGGAAAGTAAATTTTCTTTTTTTCAGTGACTGAGGAGGTTTGTTTCCTTCTTGTTCTGTTTCTGACTGTCCCTGGCTTTCCAGCTTTTTGTTTTTCTCTCTATCCCTGTTACTCTGTCAGTATTTCTTTTTTGTTCTTAGTTTCCCTGGAAAAACACAACTTCTACCTGGGGTCTTATTTGGGATATGCTTGCTAAAGTTCTCACTTTTTGGTGTCTTATAAACATAATAACCGTTAATTAAACAACATTCATTTAAAGTGGGTTGAACCAGATTATCAGAAAACAAAACCAATCCATGGATCCTTTTCTATCTCATATTCAACAAGGCAGTGTGTGATTAAGCTTGGATGGAGGTACGGACCTCAATGAGCCCATGACTCCATTTTATGTTTCTCGGTGTGAATTTCTTTCAGAACAACTTTGATTATTTTCCAGAGGTTTGTAGCCTGGCACAAGACATAAAAATGCTTATCCTAATAAAATAATATTTTAAATTCTGCTGCTTAGGGTCTGCCGGCCTACGACAGTCCCGAGGTGTTTGGGCTGCACCCCAACGCCGACATAACCTACCAGAGCAAGCTGGCCAAGGACGTGCTGGATACCATCCTGGGCGTGCAGCCTAAGGACAGCTCGGGGGGAGGAGCTGAGACCCGGGAGGCCGTGGTGGCCCGGCTGGCTGAAGACATGCTGGAGAAGCTGCCCCCGGACTACAGCCCCTTTGAAGTGAGCAGACAGAAACCTGATGTGTTGTCAGCCTTGCGTGTGTCTGGTTGTGAGGAAGTGAGAAAGAGGAAGGAGGGTGAAAACTAAATTTTCTGAATTTTTTCAGAAATTGGAAAAAAATTCAACAGCAAACTTCCTAAAAGAATTTTTTAAGCACAGGAATGAAATCATTTCAAAATACAGAAAATAAAGAATCATGAAGAGAGTTAATGAATCAATAATTAATATTCATATTCCTTAATAACAAGGAATGAATATGAATATTCATTATTGCTATTCATCATTGAATTAAAAACCTATACTGATGCATTTAAATTGCTGTTCTGAAATCATTCCTGGTGGTATTTCCTATTTTCATTTGTTAAAAGGAAAGTGATACATTCATGTGTGTGTGTGTGTGTGTGTGTGTGTATGTGTGTGTGTGTGTATATATTTATGTGGCATAGCTTAATGTACACTTTAAAATTCTGGCCTTCATAATTTCTACACACCTACATTATTTATATCGTTATCTCTTTCCAGTTCCTTCATTTCACTAGTTTTAAAAATTGATATTTTTGGTATGTTAGTAACTTCTAGGCAGGTTCATAATTATGAAAGTTAATTTTTAGACATTTTAATGAGCCTTGTGACAATATCTAACTTGATAATATATTTTTAAAAATTAGTAAAACCAAATGTAAGTGGCCTACTTTCCAGGCGGCCTTCGGATTGCTCAGTGTGGATTAACCACATGATGCTTTTAGCTTCAGCCACTGTGACTTTTTGTATATTGTCCTTTCCGACCAATTTTAAAAATAATTCTACTCTTGTTTCTCTGGTACCTTGCTGTTTTCTATTAAGCAGGTGACTTTTGCTGCCAGTACTGTAGACTGAACTCAAGAATCTATTGTCAAGGGAATAATTTCTCTGGAAGAATCTCTGATCTTTTGCTTGGAGAAAATCAATACTGTTACCCTCCATAAGCACTCTTTATTACAGAATCAGGAGAGAGGTCATTTACCTCTATTAGAAGTTGAGATATTTATGAAGCATTAAAAATATCTAAAAATAGACAAATAATCATGTAACTGAACACATTAAGTAGATTTAGAGGCGTTGTCTTCCTTTTGATGAATTTGTGAGTGTCACCGTCAGGTAAGGTGCTCAGCCTGGAACAATAGCTGCTCTACAGAGAATTCTCAGTGTGTGTGTGTGTGTGTGTGTGTGTGTGAAGGGCGTGGATGAGTGGATGGAGGGCGGACGGGTAGTTTTTCAGGACAGGCAGGAGAATGAATGAGACCATGCACTACCCATTTTATTTTATTTTTTCATTTTGCTCTGAGAATTGAAACTGTTCCTCTAACAGATACTTTTTTTTTTATTTCTCCTTCCCTCCTCCTACCACTGAAAAGACTGAAAAGCTTATTATTCATGAGATTATAAAAGCTGGGGCTTGTTCAGAAGCCTCAGAGCACCAGCTCCACAAAATCACAGTAGCTGTGTGATCTTTAATGCCATGTGCTGAATGTGTCCATGGCAGGTGAAAGAGAGGCTGCAGAAGATGGGGCTGTTCCAGCCGATGAACATTTTCCTCAGACAGGAGATAGACCGGATGCAGAGGGTACTCAGCCTTGTCCGCAGCACCCTGACCGAGCTGAAACTTGCTATCGATGGCACCATCATCATGAGTGAAAATCTGCGCGATGCACTGGATTGTATGTTTGATGCCAGGATCCCCGCTCGCTGGAAAAAAGTGCGTGCACAACTGCCCTTATTCTGCCTCCTCGCTCACTGCTGTGACTTTATTGTAATTGGCAAGTGGAAAGCACCAAAGACTAATTTACTCAAAACTGTTCTTTTGCTTAGTGACTAATCCTTTTAGAGCCCTGTAAAGACTGAAGGGAGGGAAGGAAATTATTTAGCATATCCACATATTGGATGCTCTACCAGCAATTTGCAGGCAATGTTTCAACAAAATTTCCCCCTTTATTGCCCTTACATTATAGAAGCAGAACTTGAGGTTAGACGATTTTGTTTTTTCACAGATCACATTTCTGGGAAGTACAAGAATCAGAATTAAAACCCAAGCTCTTGAATACCAAAGGCCATTTTTTTTTTAAAGAAGGAACTATACCTGCACATGTGTAAATATTACAAGTTGTACAAAAGAAAGATATCTATCATCTATCTTACTGTGTACTGTTATCTCAAAATAGCAAGTTGACTCAACAGTATGTTTACTACTTGTTGGTAATTGTGCTAAGACATGTGGTTTTAAAAAATAATCTTCCACTTGGAAAAGTAAAATGAATTTCAGAGTGTCTTTGTAGAAATCAAATGAGCATGTTTCAGGAGAGGACTTTGATTCTATGGCTCTTTGGTAGTATCCTTCTGTCTGTTCTACACTTATGACTGTGTTTGTTGTGTGAAGAGATATGAGTGAAATTGCTAAGGTTCATTATGGTTGAGAAAAGATGGAGCGACAGAGTAGAAAGTGTTTCTGTCATCTATCTTATAATTCCTGGGAAAAATCAGGACACGTGGCCTGGTTGCCTTTTGACCCTGTCATCATTTTAAGTGGCCTTGGATCCACAACATCAACCCTGCAAGAACTGACCAGGGCTTAGGTCTCCCAATCTCTGCTCTCAAGACTTTATCTCTGCAACTTCACTGTATAATGCATATGCCCTTATACCTAAATGCTGGAAGGAAGAAAGTGTATTCCTTGAACTGGGCTCAGCTGTCTGGGAGAAGTGGAGGGCTGAAATCATTCCTTGTCAGCTCTACACAAGGCAGCTGCAGTGGAAGGTGTACTATATTCTGGGGATGCCAGTCAAAGTACCATAGACCGGTGGCTTGAACCATAGAGATTTATTTTCTCACAATACGGAAAGCTTCCTTCTGAGATGGAAGTATTAGCAGGGACACGCTGCCTTCAGAGGGACTAGAGAACATCCTTCTTTGCTTTGATCTACCTTTGGGTAGCTCCAGGAATTCCTCAGCTTACCGCAGAATTGGTCCAATATCTGCCTCTGTCTTCACCTGGTGTCCTCCCTGTGTATGTTCCTGTCATCTTCCTTCTGTGCATGCTGTCTCTGAGCTCAAAGTCCCCTTTTTATAAGGCCATATGGGATTAGGGGCTTACATTATTGTTTTTTGGTCCTGGGGTTCAAACTCAGGACCTTTCGATTGTGAGGCAGGTGGCGGAACCACTGAGCTAAAACCCCTGCCCCGGGGCTCACATTATTGAATTAATGTTAACTTGATCACCATGATAAAAACCGTATTTCCAAATGAGGTCACATCCTTAAATAGTATGACTTGGGGCTTCAATATATCTTTTGTGGGGGAGTACAGTTCAGCCCACACGGGGGAGTGCCAGCTAGATTGTAGAGGCTCTTTGCAATGCAGACATTGTAAGGGTGGAAGATGAAGAGAAAACAATTGAGGGAAAATGGATGAATGAGGAGAAAGCCACTGCTTCTGCCACAACCAACACGTCCACCACCATCCTGCCACCATGACCATTGTCACTACTACTGCTCTTCTACCCCCACCCCCACCGCCACCATCACCATCATGGTCACTGTTAACAGCACTACCACCACTGTCCTCACCTCCATCATCATCACCACCAGCACTACCCCAGCCTCTGCCTCTGCCACCATTGCACTTACCGCCGCCACCACCATTATCACGACTGTCATCTCCACCACTTGCCATTCTCATGACCACCGCCACCATTGTGATGATTGTTTGGGGATTGAATGGAAGCATAAACCAGTAAGATGAAGATGGAGTGGGCAGGAGGTGACAGGATCAAGAAGAGGTAAGGATGGCATGAGACTCACAGGAAGAGAAGGGTGAAAAATGATGCCTTGATGATGACAGTCAACGTGATGGGAGCGCCCGCCTCTCCCCTGGTTCTGAGGGTACGGAGTATCTGGGAGCCGCACCCTACAGGGTGAGAAGTCTGGAACAGGAGTGGTCTGGAGGGTAAGCAGACTTCAGTTAAGAGAAGGAGTGGATGGAATGTTCGGGAAAGAGATGGAGGATCTTAGAAGGTTTCTGCTTGTGGCACTGGAGATCCTAGAGTTGAGTGAACAGGCTGGGGAGAGAAAGCCTAGGGACTGGGCCAGATGGGGGATTCACAGACAGGGCGGCATATAGAAATGAAATTGGGGTGTTGGTGTTTCTGAAGGCTTGGCCTTCTGTCGGGGATCTGGGTAAACAGAACGGTGAAATATAAAGGGATCAGAACTTAATAGTGTCTTAGAAAAGACTTGTTTAGAGCTCAGCCTCATATTCCTCACCCAGGGCTTGGAGCATTCCCTGGCAGTGAGCTCTATAGGTGACCTGCAGTAACCAAGACTCCTCTTCTCCACCTTCGTTGATGCTTGCACTGTCTACCCCTCCAGCAACATAGCGTAGAAACTCAGGCTCAGCCTTTACCAGATCTCTTTATTTCCTTCCAACTTTCAATGAGTTAATTGTTGAGGCCAAGGAATTTTGTTTTTCCTCATTGAGTTTATTAGTACATCTTAGGCATACAGTACAGTTACATTCATTATTGGGATCTTGTACCTTTACATGACAGGTCTTGGTTCTCATTTTTTCCCCTTGTCCCTGCCCTCCCTTTACCCACTCCTCCCCTCCCTATTTACAAACACTTCATTTCCATTTTTTCATTTTCTCATATTTTTTTCTTTTCCCTTATTCCCTTTTCCCTACCCTTCCCACTTTCCCTACAACTTTAGTCCTTTTCTTCCTATTTCATATTGTCAATTATCTCATTAGGATCTTATGTACTATAATAGTTTATTCACACTATTCACACCAGAGAAACTATTCGGTATTTACATGTGTGACTTATTTCACTTAGGACTATATCCTCAATATGTATCCATTTTCCTATGAATGAATCTAATTTCTCATTCTTTATGGCTGAGTAGTATTCCATTTTATAGAAAAACCACATCTTCTTTATCCAGTTTCCAACTGATGGGCAAATGAGCTGTTTCCAAGTTTTAGCTAGTACAAACTGTGCCGCTATAAACATAGGTGCACATATATCACTGTGATATGATTCTGTTAATTCTTTTGAACAGATACCCAGCAGAGGAATGGCTGGGTCAAATGGAACCTCTAGTTCCAACTCTTTGAGGTATTTTCACATTGACTTCCATAGTGGTTTCACCAGTCCGCACTCCCACCAACAATGGAGAAGGGTTCCTTTCTCCCCACAACCCGCACAAACATTTGTTATTGGTTGATTTCTTGATAGCAGCCATTCTTTGTGGGGTGAGGTGGAATCTCAGTGTTGTTTTCATCTGCATCTCTCGAATGACCAGTGATGTGGAACATTTTTTCTTATATTTAATTACTGCTTTTACTTCTTTGTCTGAGAAATGTGCCATGGAGTTTTTTTTTTTTACCTGATACGATCTTTTTATTCAGGATTCTATTCTTCCCAACTCATTATCTGTTTGTAAGATGACAGTAGTTCTTGAAGTATAGTAGGCAAATTAATTCTTAAGATAATTTAAATCCAAGTGGTACACCTACCCAAGTCGATTGCATTTATTATATGTGAGATATTGCAGTTTCAGCCAAATGTTATAATCTATAGTTTGGAGAGACCTACCAGTGCTGCTGTTGATAACATTAATGACACATCCATGCCAGTCCTCACAATGAATTCCACAAGTGATTTCAGGGAGAAAGAGGCAGCAAGTGCAATTAATTTGTGGATGGTAAAGAGACTTGGATTTCCATTCCTGTTTCTTAATGAGGGGACATATCTTGAATTCTAAAAGAACACACACTTCTGAAAATAACTGTTACTTACCTCATTAAAAATAAGTAGAGGAAAAAAAAAGTAGAGAAAATCTCCTGTGATTTATTGTCCACAGAATACGTGTTAAAGTGGGGAGCTTTATTTTGATGATGATGTGAACACATTTATGAAAATAATGTTTATACTGTATCTGTTGAGATTGTAACCCAACAATGATGGAAGTGTGCTGAATTTAATTCATAAATTGCTTTGATTCTTTGGTAGCTGAACTGTTGATGAGTATATTGGGGTGTATTCATAATTGGAAAGTGGTTCTCTTGTCATCCTAAATAGCTGTGTGAGTACATCAAATGATGTGTTGATTCTAATTATCTTCTTATCATTAAGGAGAAAGAACAGTTTGAAAATCTTGCATGTCAGAACTCAATGAAAATTCATGACTTAGGGACATTTCCATTGTAAAAGTGAAATTGTATCTCGCCTTTTTTCTCTTTCACTGAACATAGGCAGTTTACACACAGAATAAACCTGTATTGATGAATTGTTTTAATATACACTTTTCAGGCATCGTGGGTTTCAAGCACGCTTGGTTTCTGGTTTACTGAACTCCTAGAAAGGAACTGCCAGTTTACCTCCTGGATCTTTAATGGCCGACCCCACTGCTTTTGGATGACAGGCTTTTTTAACTCCCAAGGCTTTTTAACTGCAATGCGACAGGTAATAGCTCTGATTTGCACTCATTGTGCTATTATAATTCTCCTCTACAAGGTTCCTGTTTTCATTATAGTTTTAAAGAATGCAATAAGGTAGACAATGGCTATCTCTTTTTGGTACTAGCAGATACATAGTCAAGAACATAAATTCAACGATTCCCAGGCTGCTATCTTGAATTACAAATTTCTTATTTGTTATTTTTGTATTTGACTTAATTTAATTACTTTTTAAATGTAGAACTAATTAAATTCAGAAGGATTGTGGGTATTATGAAGGAATTTGCAAAAAATCTTTAAGATAGCACTATATATTTTTGATGTAGGATAATATAGAACTAAACTCTCATCACTATTATGTCTATGAAGACAAACTGCTGATTGCTCCCTTCATCTTTTGCTGTCCTGAAAAGGAAATAACTCGGGCCAACAAAGGCTGGGCTCTGGACAATATGGTCCTTTGTAATGAAGTCACCAAGTGGATGAAGGATGATATTTCCTCCCCTCCCACAGAGGGCGTCTATGTGTACGGCTTGTACCTGGAAGGCGCTGGGTGGGACCGGAAGAACATGAGACTCACTGAATCAAAACCCAAAGTGCTCTTTGAGTTGATGCCTGTCATAAGGATTTATGCAGAAAACAACAGTAAGTTGTCTTGCACATTTGGTAAAGATTGGTATTATTGGATTAGATGACCTTGACAACACAAAATCTGCCATTTTTGTTACCATGTAATAGAGATTTTATTATTTTATCAACTTTATATTCCCAACTATTTTCGATGAATACCTGTTGGCCACTGGATGTGTTCTTGAGTGGTAACTGGGGAGGTGGTAGTTCTAGGTAACTCTTGCAACAACTATAGACACCCCAAAGAGGACTTCCTGAATTGCTTCAGAAATTGACAGGAACAATGGGACAAGTATGTTCAAAGCGAGAGGAGATTCTTTGAGGGGCATCACTGGCAACGTGTCTTTTGCTGTAATGATTTTTTAAAAAAATTTAAACATACTGAATTTTTAAAATCGTAAGTCATATTTCTATCTGATGAGGTAAGGAAGAAGTATTTTACATGGTTGTTGTGTGAAGGGGAGAGGGAGATGACATGGGGCTGAGAGGGCAGGCCGGCAGCTTCAAAGGTGGGTGGTAGGGAGGTTTTCTCAGCAGGTCTGCACAGGGCTCACCTGCAGGCGGTGGCTCTGCCAATCTGAAGGTTTGAGCCAGGATATGAAATCCAGATCCAGTTCCGGGACATTGGTTTAATTCTAAAGGTAAAATGCTGGGTTCATATTTCAGTTCATGAATGTAATAACACTTCTAAGAAGCAGACATTAATTTTGTTGGGGTGAAATTATCAAATTTCTATTTGACATGTCTAATGCAATCTGGACTCTTTCCCTTCGTTGGCCTGATGTTTCTGGAGCCTTTCTTATTGCATTTCACCCAGGTAACTTCCCCTCAATGATCACTTTTTACTGCCCCAAAGAATTCCTGTTCATTGTAGAATCATAAGCCAGAAGCTCAAGAAAACATGATAGCGGATCCGAAGGAAGAACTGCTTCAGTGAGAAAGGCATGAGTGATTTTTCTGTAAACAAGTAAAGAAATAAAATAATCTCTCTTTAAATGGTGGCGGTATCCCTATTCCTTAGATAAACAATACATTTGGAGACAAGAGTCAGGGAAAGAGTTTATAAACTATAAATACTTATTTTTAAGCAGTCATTTGCTCATTGCCTCATACAGCTTGGCTACGACTTAGGTAAGACACAAAGGTAATTATGGACCCCATCATGTCCACAGAGACTCGAAGTCTAGTGAGAGAGACCAACAAGCAGAAAAATAATGCACATATAGTTGGATTAGTAGTATTAAGGAGGTATACTTAAGATGCTTAGGAAACTAGAAGGAAAACCTAAATATTCCTGGGAGGTTAGGGAGATTGCTTTTGAGATGTGGATAAGATTCAATGTGATTAAAGTTAGAGAAAGATTTCTCTTGACAGAAGGTAGCAGCATTAGCTCACTTGGTCACTTAGTGACTATTTCTCCGGCACTGACCATCTTCCAAATACTACCTCAGGCTGGGGATGTAACAGTGAAAAACACCAGGCAGAATCCCGATTCCAAGTCTCAAAGAGGAGTGTTGGCTGGAGAGGGGGAGCAGTGCGGCCATAGAACAAACAGGCACAGCCAGGTCTTGTCACTCGCAGATTCTGTATTTGTGAATTTACCTACGTGCTCAGAGTTCCATGTAATCCCCAAATCCACATTCACAGTCATTCACGGGCATCCACAGAGAAGCCAGAGAATGAGCTGCTCAACACATATATTCCCAGCTAAGCCTGGACAAGGTGACGCTCTGTCTCTGGTTTCGGCTCTCCTATATACACAAGTATCCTTTGGGTGGTCTATTTAGTGCTACGTCTTTTGAATTTTTCTGGGCTCAAAATGCTAGTATAATATTTGAGCACTTTCTATTGTTTCTGAGCACAAGAAATCTTTTATATAACTTACAGAAAAGTATGTATGCTGAGCCAACTGGCGTGAGTAACTCAGACGTGAGTTACAGAGCTGTTGGCTTTGTTTTCAGTATTGGTGAACCAACAATATATACTAAAGAGGTGTCGTTAAGTAGAAATACACGTAACTCAAGGTTATGCGTTAATTAGTTGATGAACACGTCGTGACCAGAAGCTTGCAGGAGATAACCTTGCATTTCTCCTGGGAGCAGTGGTTCAGCATTTGTTGGTTTGTGTTCATGGAGACTTTCTACTGTGAGTGTAAGAGTCAACTGCAAGTGAGCATGTAGACTTCAGGTAATTCTCTCTCCTCTCAGGACAGAATGTTCTGTTATGGTAAAGTGTGAGATAATTTAGGAGTTTAGGGAGGACGGAACATTGAAGTGAGTCTGAGTGCCAGAAAGAGGCTGTGCTAGTATCCAGGAGCAGAGGGAAGAGTCAAAGAGATGGAGTCAGAGAGTGTGCCCGAGGGCATGATGGGTAAGGGCTTTGGTGTGGCATAGATGACTGGCAGGGACTGAGGATGGCCTGGGAAAAAGGACCCAAGTATGAAGGGCATTTGATTTTTCCAAGATGCTAAGGTTGCTTCGTGAATGTCACGAGCATATCTTTCTTTTGGAAGATGAATCCCCACAGGATCAAGGATCAAGGATGGCAAAGGGAGGAGTTTCTGAGAGGGAAGGAGTCCAGGGAAAGACTGTTAGGGCTTTTCGGCAGGCGATGAAGGGTTGATACAGCAAAGAAAAGGCGAGAGAGGACAGAAGTGAGGTAGAAATGACCAGAAGCTAGAACATGGAAAGACTTGGGTGGCCTTGGATGAGAGGAGTTTATTAGTCAGCTTCCCCACTGGGGCAAAATATGTGACACCCATAAGCTAAAGAAGGAGGGGTTTAATCCAGCTCATGGTTTTGGAGTTTCAGTCCATGGTTAGCTGGCTCAAAATCAGAAGTGTCATGGCAGCAGAAAGCAGCTCATTTTATGGCAATCTGGAAGCAGAGAGAAAATGGAGGAGCCATAGACAAAATTTCACCCTTACGGTGTCCCCAGTGACCCACCTCTCCAACCAGGAAGGAACCACCTCCTAACATGGGTTACCAAATAACTCTGCTGGGTCACCAAATAACCTAAATCTATCACAGGATTAGTCCACTGATGAATATAGTGCCACCATTGTCCAGTCATCTTCTGCCAACCTCACTTCTGAACATGAAATTGTTTGGGAGGTAGGTGTTGTACCTGGTGGGGAAGTTACGGTACACGTGCTGGCTACAGGGGACTGTTTGTATCATTGAAATCTCTGAAAGGTTTGCTATCACTGATTAGACTGTGACAAGAAGGCAAGAAAGGAATTGAAAATGGCTTCAAAGTTTTTGGGTTTTTCACCTACCACAAGTGCAAGCAGGCTGTGAACTGGGTAAGAGGCCCTTCTGCAGAAGGCACAACTTCCTTAAGTAGAAACCTGGTTTCTGCTATACCACCACCCTGTTAAGTTCAAGTTTATACCCCGTCGTGGAGGAACATAATTTATCAGTTACGCTTCTGATTAGAGATCAGTGAGGAGGATAGAGGAAATTACTGTGATTTACACTGGGCTTGCAGATTCTGGAACTCACATCGAGGATGGCAGACCACATTCTCTTGTCGATCCTGGGAGAGGAAGGAGGGCAGTGTCTTGAACAGCATCACTGCAACCTGGCACCCTACAGACCCCACTTCCCAAGTCTTGTCTGGACTCAGATTTTAACACCTACTAACCTGGGGGCTTTTACAAGACCTTAGAACCATGGATATAAATCAGTTTCTCATTGCCTAGAGAGCACTAGAATAGGAGTAGGAGAATCTTTCAGAAAGGCATGGAACCTGCACTTGGTTTGGGGCAAGATGATGTGGGATGCCCTGGTAGATTCAGAAGAGTTAGCTGGTAAATTCTCAATAATAACCAGAAGAATAACAAAAAAATTGATTTCTTTGAAATTTGTGGTATGTACCAAACATTCTCTTGTACTTTTGTGGGGACATTCTATGTCTTTCTTAAAATGGCCCTGGAAAATTGTTATTCTTATCTATATTTTATCTTCGCTCTAGCAGTAAGTGAAATGCCAGGGAGGTTCAGGGATGTGCTCACAGTTAAACAGCTGGTAAGAGCAGAATTGAATGCCAGCTCTGTTTGTATGGCTCCAGATCTGGCTCCTTCCACTTTTGTGGCTCTTTCCAGGAGTTTAGATTTGGGACATAGAAGGCAGGGTCTGTCTAGGACATTTGGGTGTCAGATTTTAGATACACATGAAGTTTCTGCATGAAGGAGGTTGTTCAGGTAGAAGGGAGATGGGGAGAGAGGGTTGGAAGAGAGAACTGACATTTTTAATAGGTGGCTTCTACACCATGTCTCATGTTTTATATATAGAACCATTGAGCCAAATCCCGGCCCTTGTCTCATGTAATCTTTACAACATTTTGTTAGAGAGGCTTTAGCTCAGGTAGCTTGTGTAATCCTTCAGAGGGTTGTGCTTTGCCCCAGGAGAGAGATCAGTGAGTACAGAATGAAGGAGGAGGAGCCCGCACAGCGTGGAGTTGAGCATCAGAGTTGAAGCACACAGGGCTCTTGGCACACTTCTTGGCTCCAAGTGATGCCCAGGACCTTTTCACTGAGTGCAAAAGGACACATGTCTGCCAGGTTTTACACAAGCATCCTGCCTGTGGCTCTGCAGTTGTTGGCTCTTGGTGGGGAGAAGAATGAAAGTCCTGATCCATAATTACTCCAGAAATTAACAGTCAATGATCTTTTAGTCCAAAATAGTACTTTAGAAAATTTGATTTATCATATCATTGCATCTAGTTAACATGCTGTGCAAATGTTTCCCTTATAAAATGAAAGAAAATCTTTCTCACATTGAGTTAGGTGTTACTTTTCTTTCCTTATGACTAAAGAATAAAAATCCACGGTGATTTGATATTGAACATCTCAGCATGGTAGCAATATAGTAAAAATTTCATAACAGAGGCAATTCTTTATTATTGAAGAACATATTTTTATAGCACAGCTGTACTAATCTTGCTCGGCATTAACTCAGTGGTGATACTAATTAGCAGCAGGTAAAGGAGAAAATAAAATAAGCAAAGGAAAA